ATATTTATATATGTATATATATATATCACATATATATTATGGTAATAACCATTAACAGCATATGGCAATTGCATATAACTAGCTGTATCACACCTTTCGTTTTACAGTACAGATCGGTTATTATTATATTAATATGTATGCTAAAAAGCTAAAATAATAGAAAATGGCAGCCATTTTAAATTGTAATAGCTCAAAAATGTGTACAATATTTAGTTAACTGTTGTTGTCATTGTTATGAGTGAATTTCCAATTGAATACTGCATTTTAATGACATAAACTTACAGTATTAGTGACAATTTTTGGAAAAAATGGTGGCCATTTTGAAACTGCTGGTATGAAAAAAAAATGTTGCACATACTTTTTTGATTTATCAATGTCTACTCTACATCATATCCAATTTTTTAAAAATATAGCAAAAAAAAATGCAACCTCTGATATTGCTACATTTCGGACTAGACTATATGTGATTTACGGTATAATTAAAATTCCATTGAAAAAGCATATGGCCTCATTAGTCAGACCATGGAAAAATTGTCAGACACATCAAGGACTTTTGCTAAATAATAAGCCAACACTCGGCCCATGCCAAGTGTTCATTAAATGGCCAACGAAAATAAGCATTGGTTTTTTTGTTATATATTTATATAATATTTTATATAATATATAATATTTTATATAATATATAATTTTTTATATAATATATATTTTTTTATATATTATATAAAAAATTATATATTAAATAAAATATTATATATTATATAAAATATTATATATTATATAAAATATTATATAATATATAAAATATTATATAAATATATAACGTAAAAACCATGTCATTTTTTGCTAAATAATAAGTGAACAGATGGCACCTCATAATAATTGCCTTGTTTTTACTGTGCTATACACCTGTACTTCCTCTACTACTACTATCATATATTTTATTACATACTTTTATTATGCAAAAATGATAGCAGTTTGTGGAATAACACTCATTTAATATCAGGATTACATATTTTATTACATACTTTTATTATGCAAAAATGATAGCAGTTTGTGGAATAACACTCATTTAATATCAGACTTTCTACAGAACTCTAAAAATTGGAGTTTACCCAACAATTAAATATTAAAACATTTTTATTTCTCCTTTTTGTTTAGTGTTGTTGGCTTGAATTTTGATTTCCTGGCGTATAACTTGACTGGATTTATAGCATACGGTATATTCAATATTGGAATGTTTTGGATTCCACATATACAGGTACAGTAAAGCCGGCCTTACACTAGGCGAATTTATTCGCGCGAATCAAAAGAGTCGGTTCGATTCCTGAGCTCTGATTGGTTGCGCATTTGTTCGCTTCGCAAAAAGTAGAAACAATTCGAATTACTATATTTTGCTGAAGTGGAAACTTGGATAGAAATGTGAATGCACGTGCTCATGAACTGACGTTTTCGATTCCTGCAAATAAATTAGCTTTTAGTGTAAAACTGGCTTCAGAAAGCTATTATTGTAGGCTTATATTAATTTACAATTGCTGTAAATACAAATAATTAAAGACCGGTCCAGACTATCAAAAGGAATAATGATAAACTTTAAAGTTTACTTATGTTTCTTGTGTCCCTCCAATCAGATTTTTGTCTGATTAATTATTGATTTTTTATTATACTGTATACAACAGAATCTTGCGTAATTAATATTTTTAACATTTCGGACACTTATACTTCGCAAATTATGAAAAGTATATTTTTCTTTTTAAATTTTTTCCTTAAGTTGTAGTAATTGTAGCTAGCGTTTGTTTGTTGATTTTGGGATATTTTATATATTATAGTCTACAGGGTATTATCAATATAATATATAATTAGTTAAATAATTTTATTCCAGCCTTTTTAGTAGCAATGATTGCTGTTAATTTGATTTTTAAATGTAATAAAATGAAAAAATGAAAATGAAAGGTTTTGCAAAATAACTGTATTTCCCTCATGGTCGAAATTGCTTGCACTTTCACTATAATAATCACACAATTTTTGTGTAAATGTGAAATTAAAAAAAAAAATGTATCAGATACTTCCTATTAAAGTAAACAATATGTATTGTACACCCATTCCAGAGTAATAAAACAGCCTGATTTTTCAGAATTTGCACTTTCAATAGTCTTTGTGTACAATCAAGATCTTTTAATAGTACAGTATATGAAGTTGACAAAAAATGGATTACAGAATTTCCATTGAGCCAACTACTGTATCTTGAAGATAGCATTGTACAGTGGCAGTGGCAGACTTCCTGATTGGGGGGGGGGGTCTAAAATGCCTGACAGGGCATGTCACACCACATCTGCTACACCACAATTGGGGCTTAGCTGAGCAAGTGCAGAATGGACACCTAGATGCTTGAAAATGGCACTCTCAGGCTGTCAAAATAATGTTTCAAAACAGTTTTACCCAATAAAATGATTGGCTTCTTTATGGAATCCATGGGTCTCTAAAAGTGGGTCCTGTGCCCAGAAGCCTCATCGGTGCTGCCACTGGTATTGTATAGAATTATCCCATTATATTACTTATAACGTATAAGGCACTCAATGGTCTTACCCCTAATACATTTCAAATCTCATCCAACCTAAATCTACTCCTTGCCTTTAGACCATCTGACAAGTACCTTCTTGAGCAAGGCAGGTTAAAATCTGAAAACCTAGGAAAACGATGTGTATAAGAGACAGACTTTGTGTAATGTCATTGTCATAGTGCCACTGAACTTTGCATTCTGCTGTGGATATTGGTGCTATACAAATCCATGTTGACTGATTGATTGATGAATTTAGCATTTGTTAACTTTACAGGATCAATATGAGGAGAAGCACCCACGTGGTGTGAATCCCGTCCTCATCAATGATGTCTGCTTCACTCTACATGCAGTTTTCATCACTGCAGTTACTATCATCCAGTGTATAATTTATGAGGTAAATGCAATGATTAGATGTGTCTTCTTGTGTTAATACGTTCGCTGCCAGGGACATGTGTTCACGTCCCAGAAGATTCACTCAGGGTGCCGACACTATCCAACATATCTATTGTATTGCACGTAAATTCGCTGGTAGTAGTCGCCAGAACATAAAAATTATTAATGGGGTCTCAAGTCTCTTGCGATTCACGGGAGTTCAGGAAATTGGAACAGCCGGCCGCACACCAGTGATCAAGCAGACATCTCCCACAAAGTATTTTGATGCTTTATTAAGTAATAAAGTACTGTATTATCAATTGTCTTCCTGAAGTTATATGGCAGTGGGTTCAATATTATCAATCGCAGCATAATGAAATTAGATTATGGAAGCTCTTTTTGAACAGATCTCCCGGGAGAGGCTTTATCCAACTGGGGACCACTGTAAAAGTTTAATAATTAAAAGAAAGTAGTTGATAGTAATAATTGTTTTTATATTAAGAAGAGTATAGATACTAATTATTTTATATATTTCTTTATTTAATTTTTTTAATTCTTTTGACAAAATTTTTGCTTTTAAAAATTATTTGTAAATATTAAAACTAGAACTTTAATTACCATACAGTACGCAGATGCTAATAGGCCTCTAGCCTAGTTAGCTCTCAATAATATCTTCACTCATAGAAAATAACACATTTCTATAGTGCCAAAGCAAAAGCATATACATATACATATAAATTGAACATGTACATATTAATAACATACAGTATATATGATGTGATTTTCAAAGATTTTATTTCAACTTGTATGTTTTTATAAATTTTATTTTGATTTTTATTGCTAGAGAGGTAAGCAAAAGGTGTCAACTGTTTGCAAGGGTTTATTGATAGTAGCCTGGTTGTTTGCCTTAATCACCCTCCTCATCACGGCGTTCTCACATGAGCGTTTGATCACTTGGTTGGATTATGTCTATTATTTTTCGTACATCAAGCTTGGCGTGACACTAATTAAGTATGTTCCACAGGTAAGAGAAACTTTGGCTCTATTCGACTGGTTGTTCTTCGTTAAACCACACCCACCTGTGCAGTGGTAAAATCCTACAGTACTTAACGAAGGCGACCAGTCGAATAGAAAACTTGTAAATACTTGACAAAACAAAATGGCAGCATAGTTACCGCGATACACACTGCGTATCAAGATTGCTTTAGGCTTGTGGCAGTATGGGTTTTTTCGTAAACAAAGGTTTTCATCCAGTTTTTGAATTCTGTTAGCCCACAATTATTATTTGACGTCATGTGGGTAGATTTTATAAAATTAAATTTTTATTCTCTGAAAATTAATCTAAATTATATCAACATAAATGTTGTTTCTAAACTGACCAATCGGCCATGTTATTCAATGGTCACATAGATAACTTAATGCTGATTAACGCACTCTGGTTTACGTTAATTTCCTCTGTCAGTGTTACAAATCAGTCAAAGAAAAAAATACTCAACGAAAAACTAAACTGCAAACTAAATAGAAACATTGTTACAAGATAATAGATAGAAGATAAATACAAGAAAATAGAAAAGATATTTTTCTATCCATTGTTTTATAATATCTAATTCACTATCAGTGTTTAAATTTTTGTTTTTGTTACGTTTGTAACTCTCTACCCAGGAATGGGTACCTGGTAGGATGATGCAGACATGCCAACCACTCCGATTTTGTTTATTTAAAAGCAAAACTCCGCACTCCAATTTTGGGTAGAAAAACTGTTTAGATTTGATTAGAAAAGAAAAAGACCAGTCAATTTTAGTCCTGAACAGCAGTCTGAACTGTACACTAAAAAGTAATTCACGCTCCACGGTTATTTGATTTCGAAAAAACAACTGTCAGAGTTGCAGTCTGAACTGTATAGCGCTCCATCCATGGTCTACTGATTTCATATAACAGTGTAGAAAACCACGAGTACCAAAATGGAGAGAAATTAAAAACTCTCACCATTATATTTGACAATCCAATCACATTGGTACATGTCTTTAGGAAAAAATTAATTTTTTCCGATGGCGATTTAACATACTTCTCTCACATTGCCAAAATCCCCCTTAAAAGGTTTTCAGATGCCTCTTGTTGGCCTCGTAGAGTTAGCATGTCATACCTCCATGGTTTGATGATGTAGTATTGAATGTATTTGTCTATATCTTCATTAATTTGCAAGCACAACTGGAATTATCCCAGGGAGTTGAGGACATTGCACTTTGTGTTGGTTTGGCAAATTATGGATCCAATGACTAGGGGTAATATAATAGCATCACCAGCATCTTGCATTCTTTGGCAAAAAGCATGTTCTAAATCCCTATAATATTATTATTCAATATAAATTATATAATTTTTGATTTATTTTAAGTGTATTTTTTGAATTTTGCGTCCTATTTGTATCCTGCATTTTGTAAATTACCCTACTGTTCTTTTTAGGCCTTGATGAATTACAAACGTAAGAGTACAGATGGCTGGAGCATTGGTAATGTTCTGCTAGACTTCACTGGTGGTTCTCTAAGCTTAGTTCAGATGTTCCTGTTAGCCTACAACAATGGTGAGTTAATACAAAACATATTTATCTGTATCTACAGAAGATATAAATTCTTTGTTGTGGTAATAAGTCAATGTTTAATTTTTTTATCAAATTAATTTACTAGCTAGAAAGATATAAATGAAATGACAGCAGCACTTTCGAGACTAGATATAACAGACTATTGCGGCTACACTTTTTATTCTAGCTAGAAAGGTGAAGTATTAACAGACATAAATTACTTTTACAAATAGAAACATGTCTGTTTCAAACAATTTGAGGCCAAAAAAATAAATAATAAAAATAGAATAAAAACTAGACTTTCTATGTCTGGTTTGTAAAACAGAACGTAGGGCTCTTCCTCATTGCCTTAAATAGAAGTGATGTTGAAATTACAAAATAAAAAAATGAAAAATCATTAAACAAAATATAAAGTGAAACATACATGAAAAACAATATGAAATCATACGAAAGAAAACATATGTATTCATTATGGTCGCCATAGTGCTGTAGGCAGTAGGAATCTGGCACACAAACTGTTTTTGAATCTACACGTATCAAACATAATTTGTATAAAGTTTCACGTTTTGGTATTATAAAATGCACGCCTGGGTTACTTACAGTAGCTACGATAATATAAGGTTTTTTTTATATATATATATATTTTACTTTACCACAGATGAGTATAACATTTTTTCAGATGATGGTAAGAAAAGTAGATTATGATTTTGTGATATAAGATCAGCTATCCAAAGTTAATGTTATAATTATGTAGTGGACAGTATGAATAATATTAAAGCTTTTCCGAAAAAACAAGAGCTTCAGCTAGAGAATAACTGACGGGGAATTGACCTTTTCGCTAAGCTCTTCCGCTTAGATAAGATAAGAGCTTTCGATTGCACAACGATAGTAGGACATAGAACGTAATGACGTCACTAAAAGTAATCTGCGTATGCGAGAAAGTTAAGTTCTCCTTGTTGCGTAGATTCTAGGACTCAATTTGGCCAATTCTACGTATGCAGAGAACATAGGATGCCCGGTATTAAGACGGTCACTCGTGGGTGATTCCGTTTTATCGTTGTGTCGTCGTCGAACAAATCGAAAGCTGCCTATTGTTGCTATTATTAGGTCCGTCAAAATGACTGTCTAAAAACATACACAAACATGTTTATTTGTGGGGACAACATGTGTGTTTGTGAGACAATCGATTTGATGGGTGATACAGATGTTGGCTTTGCAACTCACTTTTGTATCCCAGCCCTGTAGGCTTTAATTATTTTGATTCCTTATTGCAGACTTTGTTCTGATTCTTTATAATTTTTATTGTTTGATATTAATAAAATATATTTTGTTCTTGTTCTTTCAGATGATTGGAATTCCATCTTTGGAGATCCCACAAAGTTTGGTCTTGGTTTTTTTTCTATATTATTCGATGTTCTCTTCATTCTTCAACACTACGTATGGTACAGGGGGAACACCCCTAAGCTTGAAAATAAGGAACGGTATTCCGAGATTGGAAGCGATGAACCTTTACTAAACGGTTCATCTGGAGCTTATTATGCTTCTGTTGAATAAGTATTTTTTTAATTTAAACAGTTTTTTTTTTCATTTATGAATTTTATCAACTATTCCTGGATATCGAAAGGTCCACTGATTAATCTCAGATAAGATAGTATAATACATACTTCAAGTATGGAAATGCTGGAAGATCATCATCATTCCTGATGATGACATAATTAATGTCGAAATACTGAATCCCGATAATCATCATCCTGATGATGACATAATTAATGTCGAAATATTGAATCCTGACACGATGGCGTGCATTTCTGTACTTGGAGTATGCATTATACTATCTTATTCCAGAATATCGTTTTATAAGTTATAAAATTTCGTGGACACAAAACTACCTGAACCTAATGCAATTATTTCAAAAAGAAATATCGAAGTGCAATGTCAAGAAACGAGAAGTGTTTTGATTATGATGATGATGATGACGAGATGTAATTTCTTTTTTTAGATGCAAATTATTACACTGAGAATTATACCATTAAAGTAATGGTATTGCACACATATAAAAGCTATGTTACAACACATCTACTTATAGTAAATCATAATTTTGTTTGTTAATGAAAAGTTGCTATTTAGTAATATTAGACATGTTTCTACGATACATTAAGATGCAATTTTAAATTTCTTTTTAATTCTATAATTTAGCTATAAGCTTAAAAATTTTTTTTTTTTTTAATTTAGTTTTTGAATGTATTTTATTCAATAACAATTAGGTCCCCAGGTACAGAGTACCACAGTCGTGTTGTCATGAGGTCGCGCTCTCTGATGTCAACAGACGTTGGCGACCGTTCATTACGCCTGAATGACTTTATAGGCTTTCTGGAAAAGGCATTTTAAAATCTAATATTTTACCATCAAAATGTACTAAAAACACAAAAGGTCGCATTATATTAGTTATCGAACACACATTTAATCATCAGTTAAAATTTACAAAGAAAAAGTAAGATACAACATCTTAATAATTATGTTAGAAAATGGGATCAATTGTTTGTCAGTGGAGAAAATGGCGTCTGTTGAATGCTTTTTGCAACGATAGCAACGGAGTAGTATCACATGGTATCGTGACATAACACTGTAGTACTCTATATGAGCAGATCTCGAGTAGATGCCCACCCTGTACTTTAAGTCTGATCTCTTGTGCCTGTGTTTTCCAAGAAAAGCCCAGTGTATGATTTAAATGAAAACACCCAAAGGTGAGCATTAAATTTTACATTCGAATTGGCCATCCAAAGTTGAAAATGTTTTTCATGTACAGGGATCACCCACCACCAAACTCAGGCCAGGTTTTTGTGTTCTGGAGGGTGGAACACGAGGGACTACGGTATTTAGTCACTGAGAAGAAATCAGTACCCACCAAGTACACATTAATTTTTTTTTTTAATATAATTACTACTATTGCAATTGTAATACATGTAATGCAAGTCCGTTTTGTAACAGTTTTTAGTTTTAAGTAGGTTAAGTATGAATTATTCTGATTTTTTTTTTTTTTTGTATAAAGCACATTATGGCATTTTTCTGCGGAGTGCACTAATAAGAATGGCATTTTTACATTTCACCATCAAATTCGAGACCACCTTTGGAACCTAAAAATATGAGGTGGTCTTGGGGTTAAGACTCCAAATAGAGGGTTAACTTTGTGTTAATAGATTAAAGTTTGTTTCTCGGGTCTTTTAAAAAGTGGTCTCAAATTAGAGGGGTCTCGAATTGGAGGGTGTACTGTATTATTATTATTATTATAAAAATATTCATTTGGATGATCCATAGTAATTTAACAAATGTTCACTAACCTGACGTTTTGATCTTCATCGGTGATCATTTTCCAAGTGATTTTAAAGGTCATACATTGTGGAATGCACTGTTCCATGTGTGCTGCGGCTTCTTGTTGCCATAGTCTACCAAGCGTCTTCTGGGGCCCCCTCCTGTTGTGGGTGGTCTCCTTTTTAAAATGTCCGCTGAGCTAGACATTATTATTTTAACAATTATAACCTGACACAAAAGGCTGAAAAACTTACTTACGTTGAGCTAAAGACATACCAGAATATAAATTTTGGAAAATAGTTAAATAATTAAATTGCTTACTCTGTCTTGCAATCTAAAATTATAAAATATTCCTGGTCAATTAACAGGGCTACACCTAGAAATTTAATTGTTTTTATAAAATATTACATGCATGCATTCTAAACAGACTTCCTGAGAAATTGCCACCATTTTTTATATAATTTTGAAAATTTAGTGAGGGGTGTTCGGGCTGACTAGGCTCTCCCGCTTGAATCCGCCTATGATTAATATGCAGGCAGTAAAATTCAGGAAGGGATGCATGCAAATATTTTCCTAGCTCTTTTTTTTTTTGTCTTGGAACGTCTATATATAAATTTAATGTAAAGAATAAATCTTTTTACATAAGCAACTCAATGCTTTAATTAAATTTCTGAGGTTTTTCTACATTTTATAAATATTGAGGACATTGTGGTAGCCTCCACTATTGGATATCAAAAACGTTTTTTTGAATTTGAATTAACTAGTAATAGCCTCATATATTGAATGCTGTAAGTAAAAATAAATGTTTTCCATATATCCCTATAGTAAAAGATATGTATATCAAGTTTGTATTTTAAAAAACAATAATATATTGCAACTCTGAAGTTGTTATTATGTATATCACTACAGTGAATTTTTTTGCTGGTAATTCTATTTGCAAAAAAAAAAAATGTAATGGCAAAACAGCTGTTTGTGCATTGACATTTGGCAAGTACCACTGATCAAATGTCTGTAGTCTAATTGTCTGTCAATAAGATTTTTCATCACATCTTAGTTGCCATGTTCTTACCATAATTATGTGATATTAAATTGATTATAACAATACTGCCAAAAAAACTGTTATACTAGATGTCTCTATGTCATTTGTGCAAGATATTCAGGGGCGGATCCAGAGATGTCCGAAAGGTGGGGGTGCCGAAAGTGGAGCCAATCGAGATAAAACTACCATATTGAAACTGATGTATTTAATGTAGGTTCTTATAAATTCTTTATTGGGAGTGGCAGCAATGGCGTACTGTATCTATGGATGCGAGGAGACCACTCCCAAAAAAACTCCCCTCCCCCAGGCCATCCCCACTAAAAATGTTCAGAGCAATGTCTCACCTCATGTCACCTTATTTTGCGACCTATGCCCTCAGTCTTCGAGGGCCCCCACTTCACCTTTGCACCCCGATCATTTCAAGGCTCCCCTAGATACACAAGCCAGTGGTGTGCCTCAATATGTGTGTTGAAGGGTGTCAACCCACCTTGAACATTAGTCTCTCACATTGCTATACTTGTTAACATCGACTTTTAGTGCAGTCTTCCATAAAAGACAGTTGAGTTTCATGTTCATTAAATAACTGTATATTATAAACAGAAAGTCTATTAATTCAAAGAAATCCTTTAAATAACAGCATGCAGTAATTGTACATGTATTATGTATTTTTTTTAAATTTTCCTCTAAAAGAGATTGCCTGTCATTAATTGTAGGGATTCTATAACACCAAAGATGGATGGTTTTTGACTGAAAATTTTTCCCTTCAAGTAAAGACTAATTTTCAAATACATGCTCCATATTGAATACCGATTTTGTTGTAGGATGTTGATGTTTTTCGTAAAGGATATTTGGGTAGAACGAGCACAGGACTTGGTGTGTAGCTACCAAGAAGTGGTTTATTAGGAATCGGTAACAACAGCATACTATAATCCATTCTATTACTTGGATTAAAATGTATCATATTTATGGTTTTCGCAGACCCAACTAAAATTTACCCATCCATTAAAGAATACATTACCATATATAGTAACTTTAATGCAGTTATTTTTAATTAATAAATAATATGAATATACACATGAAAATAATACAATCCAATAGGCCTATACTGATAGTAGAAGGACGATGCTATAGTATTGTAATGGAGATTTAGGTAGAAGGAGCGCAGGACTTGATGTGCAACTACCAAGATGTGGTTTATTAAGAATTAATAACAGCATAGAGTAACTGTAAATCCATTTTAAAGCATTTGGAATTGATCATTTCTTACATTTCCCTCCAAGTAGTGTTGACCACTTTTAGTGCCGGTCTTTAATTAGAGGGATTCTAATTAGAGACAAAAGCTGCTAAAGACCACCAAAACCCCCTGGTCCCAATTGTGGTCTTTAATTGAAGGGAAGCCTATGTGTGTATATATATAATAATCGTGATATAATAGAGATGAACTCTAAATCGTCTTGTGGTAATGGCATAAGTATATAAATAAATTTTCAACATTAAAGAAGAGGAATATGTAAGTGTTTAAAAATAGGTGCCCAACCAGGCCATTGAGGCTTTGTTGGGAATTCAAATCTGAATAAAGCATATAATTCTTCACAATCGCGCGTATGCGTAGTAGACAGTACTAGTCTTTGAAGCATGTCAAATGACAGATATCAATACGCTCTCTTGTAAGCATTTGACTACAAGTCAAGATCTCCGAAGAGATGCTTTTCATAAGTATATCATTTAACAGAGATCAATATGATACGCCCTCTTCTTATATGTATATGTATAGATTTATTTTTAAGTTTATTTAATCCTGTGGGTCAGTATTAGGCCCTAAATTTGCTTACTAAGTGAATTCTGTCAAATATAGGCTTATTATCGCACTCAGTGCGCACCATACCAAATTGCTCATTGGTGGCACTGTAATTCTTTTGCACAATGTCCTTGGGACGCGAGTGAAACAAAATATCATCGGGAAAATACACTGTATTTACATTATTCGACAAATCAAAATATAAATTTTATTGAACTGCAAATCTGGCATATAAGAACAGTCACACACATTCTGGCTAACATTTTCTTTTGAAAACATACAGTACTACCATTAAAATGTATATAAAATCCGAGAGACGGACTATTCAAACAAAAATACTAACAAACAAAAAAGCTGCCTCAAATCAAAAATCAGATATCTTGTCATGAATACAGTATTTACACATGGAATATAATTATATTATTGTATGTACTGTTTTATGTAAAATGTAGATATATTGTAGGTAACAAATATCTAATCAAAAAAAATAATATAACATGTAACAACATAAATTCATAAATATGAATGTATGTATACGTATGAATCAATAACACATTTATTTACAGTAAATACTAATGAATAAAAAAAATCAAATGTGCTTATACACAAAAGTTGTATCTATTCAAGAAAACTATAAACTAAGTCATACAAGCATATAAATATCAAGAAACATGCATAATTAAAAAAAAACAAGTATCAAAACTATATACTGTAGTTAATAAGAACACTTAACTCTAAATAAATACATAGTCTATAGTTCCTAAAGCATACAAAACTGAGATTTTTTTAAAGATATTATATGGGAAAATCCTTAAAAAAAAAAATCAATGCTATTTTAAAACTTAATACGCCAAAGAGATGAATATAGAAAAGTCAGATCTTTTGCTGATTTACAAACGATTCTATAAAAATTACCAGTACCAGCCAATTAAAGGGTCCTATTAAAGGAAGGATATCAGCAGTGGGCTCCGGAAATTTGCTGAGGTGGTCCTAACCACTCGGCCAGGGTCCAGGAATAAACATATCTGGTAGGTTTCATGGGGAGAGTTTTCTAGTGAGTTTTATGGCTCATAGTATGGCTCAAAATTTTACCATAATATTAAGGATTGGCAATTCATTTTTGATCCAACAACATTGTAGTGCAGATGGGAAAAAGTTCCCCCTGTGACCCCTGAATACTGGGTATTATCTATGTGTGGTGTTTACCTGGTGAGAAAATATTTTCTCATTCTATATTCAAATGAAAGCTAATAAATATAACTAAAATCTGGATTTTTTTTTTTTTTTCAAATGTATTAATATAAAGTTAACATCAAGAACTTCTTTTAATAAATAAATGATAAATGGCCCACATTATCACAAAGTTGATAAAAAATATTATTATTTGAAATTTTGTTTGGAAAACAATTGATCTCTAATGCATATACACAACAGCCTCTATACATCATTCCAAAACAAAAACATTTAAAATAACAAATTAAATTGAATGGATTTTATGTAAAACATCCATACACTGTATTGTTAGTCTTTATTCCTGAGATAAATACTTGTGGCTCAAAGACATTTTTAATCAAAACAATGCAAAAAAGGTTTATCACTCAATGCACATAAATATTGTCACAGCAGAGAAAAATAATACAACAAAAACACATCATTTTGTAACATTATCCAAATAGAAATGTATGTATGCTACAAGTTCATTGTACTGATTACAAAATTATATACAAATTCAAATAATTAATTAAATCTGATCACTCAAAATATATTATTTCATCATTTACAAATAACATCTAAATTAGCGGTTCCTCAAACTATGGGTCGCGACTCAAATTGGGTTGCCAAGCAAATTAGAGGGTCACAAAACTCTTTAGAATCTTTAAACACTGAATTTTACATCCTGCTACAATTAGCCGTAGCAAAAAGTGTCCATTCTTCGTATCATTAAAGTAACTTTATATCAATTGTGTTTAACAGTTAATGACTCATTATGAGTATTTGTTTTTTAACGTCCTGGGAAGTGGGTTGCGGTAAAGATTTTTGAAATTCATTAGGGCCAAACTTAAAAGTATGAGAACCGCTGCACTAAATCAGGTGCTAGATAACAAACCATTTTAATACGGTTCCTTCAATTTTTTGTATGTTCGCCGATAAATCTTTTTAAGGGTATCCTCAAATAACTGGCGACTGCTTTTCCCTGTCAACTCGGGACCATGAAGACTCCAGTAGCTTCCATCATCCACATGGAATGAAACACTGAAATGAACATTACAATGGAACAGTTTGATTAATTGTTTTCATTGACTTTATATGATGAAAGGAAGTTTACTGTTTTATAAATGCATAGAGAGAATTATTTTTTAGTAATTTAGTGTAATAATAATGTTTGGCAATGGACATTCTTATCTCTGCTTCAGAACCATTCTTATACCACTTTTACACTACAAGCAAAACACCTGACACAACCAGCAGATATACCGACACTGGGATGTAAAGTATGATTCAGGTTGCCAAACATTCTGGGAACCTAGGAACACACCAACTTCAACTGTATGTTGGTTGCTCTATTGTATATATTTGAATCCCTGGCCAAAATTTAACAGCCAAGTTGAGCCCATGCGCCTACCGATAATCAAAGTTTTCTATAATTTAAATAAGTGTAATACAAACGAAATGAAGCATAGAAGAAATTCTAATAAAACAAAGGCAAGCAAAACTGTAACTAAAGACACATCAGTAAAACAATAAAAAAACAACACTGAATTCACAAACACTGCTCTTACAAAAAAAAATAAAACAGATAAGACTAGAAGATGTACTGTCTTGTTTTGGGATTTAAAAACAAATTATAATAATGTAATTGATTGCTATAATTAAGCAGATTATTAGTTTTTAGTTTGAAAGAATAAGGTCAAAATATCCTTGCCTTCACAAACATAAAATGTGAGGTCTCGCCACAAAATGAGTCTCATGGTTGGAAATTCAAAAATTGAGTTTATATTATATTTGGGTAGATAACATTATAAGCTTTCATTTGGTCTTTGAATGGTTTCCCTACTATAAGTAAACCCAGTGATGTGAGCATTTAAAGTTTGGGTGTATAAGAACCACATTTTGAGAAAATCGACCTCAAAGATAAACTAAACTGTACAAATAATATGACTAGAATTACAGAATATGTGCAGAGAAAACTGTTTTGGCATAAAAAATTCACTTACAAAATATACAATCATAAAATATAAGTATCAAGTTATTCAAAATCATTAAAATCAAAATTTTGTAAATAAAATTGACTTTGGCCTGTTTTGGTGAATATCTCAATATGATTTCACCAACGATGCATCTCATTTCGTGGTGAGACCTCACAAATGTTCAACTTTTGCATACTTCTTTAAAAGAGAACTAGCAAAATGATTTTTTGTTCTAGAGTGGATTTTTGATATGCCATTAATAATAGAATCAACCTTAAAATCGTTTTTTGGCTATTTTTTATGAAGTTATAGGCGATTATATACGATTTTACCATGACGTCACTGGCGAAAAAGTAACAAAAGATTGTGTAAATAGCCCCGCGTAGGGTATCCGCCGCGTATGATCTTTACGTGCATGCTGTAACAATCACAATTTACAGCCATGGTGTACCTAAATACAACGGTGGGGGAAAACTAGAAGATGTAACAGCAGTATGTTCTATTAACTTAAAATTTCTCTCGGTAAAATGGGTTATACTGAGCCAATTTTCACATTCAAAAGTCGATATAAGGTGCTAGTTAACGTTTATTAAGATTTTTGGAAAGAAAATAATGAAATTATGTCTCTAAATAGAAGTTCATATACATCAGCCGAATGTAGTACAATTGTTTATCAGTGTGATTAATCTGCTCACTAAACAATTTTAATTACTTGTGCAAATATAAATATGTGGGTAACCCACATCTTTATATACGACTTTTCATGGATCTCGACCTGCTATGTAGGCCCTCTTTAGGCTAGATGCACCTAGATGGTTGGAAGCGACAATCGAAAAAAAAACGGTTAAGCAAGCCAAGGACTTCACTAACTTCCATTCCTCAGTATTAAAATCCTTCCATTCATGGGCACTGTCTAAACTTTCTTCCAGCTTATCTCTGAAAAGATTGTAACCTTTTCGTCTGCAGTTGGCTCAACATGAATTACACAGGAGCCAGTGAGCTTCCATGACGGCCTAGACTCGGACATGACACGTTGTTGTTTGTTGTTATTTCGTGACGTCATCAACGAGTAAAATATTGTACATTCATTATCCACCATCAACTAAACTGCCTTAAAGAAAAAAAAATCGGTTCATGTGGGAATCGAACACACAACCTCCATGTTTGCTAATCATTATCCACCATCAACTAAACTGCCTTACAAAAAAAAAAAAAACTGGCTCGTGTGGGAATCGAACCCACGATCTTAAAAAAAAAATAAATAAATAAAAAAATTTAAAAAAAAACTTGCCCCGTGTGGGAATCGAACCCACGATCGCCGAGTTTACTACTCCTGATCCAGCATGACTAAACTTGTTCATTCATATTGAAATTAGTGTTTTGATGGTGATTTTGTTTTCATCCAATGGGAATTCATATTCTTGAAGAAATGAACAACAAGATATTTGATTGGTGAACAGCCGAAATGGCAATTTAAACAAAGTCACTAAAAACAGATCGAAATGCAGCCTCTACGCGCGGTGAGCGGTCAGCATAGCACCAATATAAAGGTGAAAAATGATGGTGACCTTTTTCAAGCAATACAATTGAAACAAATACTAAAAGCAATCAGAAAAGAATTGCCTTCCAAATGCAGAAGAGAATGTGACAAAAATCCAACAAGTATTTGCCAGATACGACTGTGGAAAGACAAAAAATGACCTAAAAACAGCTAATGTCAGCGTGAAACACTTTTGCTAGGCTATTCTCGCTCTTGAACGATAATGTTGCAAGAAGAACCATTTCGTATTTTTTGGAGCTTTTTTGATTTGTCAATATGTATGTCTGATAATTTTACTTTATTTTGCCAGGTAGTGGTGATTTCACTTTATTTGACAATAGACTGATATTATTTCCACTCACAATAGTGTAGTCGCAATATTACTAATACAAAAGTGAAAGTTAAAAAGGGGAGAAAAGCAAAAATCTCTTGATTGATTTTAAAAGTCGTGTACTTGCAAAAAGACTAAATTAATCATTGTTTTAAGTTTGAATATCGTGTTGTTAATAATAATAATAATAATAATAATAATAACAATAATAATAATAATAATAATAATAATAATAATAATAGGCCTTATAATAATATAATATGCATAATAATAATAATAATAATAATAACAATAATAATAATAATAATAATAATAATAATAATAATAATAATAATAAAGATTTGTAAAGCGCAAACATCTCCACCTAAACAGGTGCTGGGCAGTGTCAAACAATAATAATAGGCCTTATAATAATATAATATGCATATTAATAATAATAATAATAATAATAATAACAATAACAATAATAATAATAATAAAGATTTGTAAAGCGCAAACATCTCCACCTAAATAGGTGCTAAGCAGTGTAAAACAAGCAGTAGAGGAAAAAACAAGATACATAATCACAAGAAGAAAATGTAACAAGACTCATCATTTTATTACTTTACTTCTCATTTTTTAACCACTTTTCTTTCTCTTCATTACACTTTCCTTTTTTGTCATATGTTTCCTTATCTTTTCCTATTCTTTCTTATGTTTCCATTTCTTCTTTTTATCCCTTCCTTATGTTTCCTTTTTTTTTCTTTCTATGTTTCATTTTCTGTTTTAGTCTCTCCTTTTCTTTCTTATGCTTCCTTTCCATTCCATTTCTTTCTTATGTCTGTCTTTTTTCTTATTCTTTTCCTTTTCTGTATTACGATTTCCATTTCTTTTCCTTTTATCTTTTTCTTTCCCACTTTATTTCTTATTTGTAATGAAAATCAGGGCCCCGTGACCTTTTTCAGGGACCAACATTTCTCTATTGATTTAGCATCACTAGATAAAAAATGAGCAAGCAGGCGGGGGGAACTTCCAGAAAAAGGGCGGAACGTCCTTTAAAGTCGGATAAGCTTCTCTTAGCAGACCTTAGCATATGATCATATATTTTTTTCGACAGTGTGCAATCTTGTTCTTTTAGATTAGAATGACTTTGTTCTTTTTTTTTTTTTTTTGTTATTAGAAGAAATGCAAACCCCAAATATAGTGCAAATATTTATAAGATTGTGTGCTCTCACTCACAGTTATGACTTTTCTTATCTGTTTTCCATTTTTTCTCTCGGTTTATAAAATACCCATTCGGTGACCATCATTAGATTTTTGCTAATTAAGGATTGATTTCTGCTCCTTTGCATATTTCCCTGCGATATACAACATTTTTAACACTTTAAATTTATTATTTGTCGTATTAAACAACATGGTAGGCCCAAAAAATAAAAATAAAGCAACATTTTTTTCTTCTGAAATTTCCATTTTTCATGGCAGTGAGTGTGCTAATTGGCCAAATATAAATTTTTTTTATTCGAATCATCATTAGACAAGGTACAAAAAAGTCTGCCATATCTACAACCATACTACATCTGAAGATCAAGAATATAGAAGTTGTTAATAGTTTAAATGATTTTTTGTTCTAGAGTGGATTTTTGATATGCCATTAATAATAGAATCAACCTTAAAATCGATCTTTGCGTATGCTGTAACCATGGCTGTAAATTGTGATTGTTAAAGCATGCACGCAAAGATCGTACGCGGCGGATACCCTACGCGGCGCTATTTACACGATCTTTTGTTACTTTTTCGCCAGTGACGTCATGGTAAAATCGTATATTCGCCTATAACTTCATAAAAAAATAGCCAGAAAGATTTTAAGGTTGATTCTATAATTAATGGCATATCAAAAATCCTCTCTAGAACAAAAAATCATTTTGCTAGTTCTCTTTTAACTGTTAATCAATTTAAAGATTTTGTAGTATAGGTCTGCATATTACCAAAAACTTCATCAAACCTGTGGATTGTAAACAGTAAATGGCTTATTTTATCATTTTTAAGTATTATTGTTTTTTTAAGGGTTTCCTATATTTTATGACAGACAATACATCTTTTAAAATCATTTTTGACTGATAAACTGACAGAACATTAAAGTAAGAATTAAAGAAAAAGTAAAAAAATACAACAGAAATTCAACAGACAAACCTGACTGATTAATAGTTTATATACCTCCTGTTGAAGGACCTATCGAGTGTGCTCCGTTGTGATGGAGATATCGATGACCTGAGGTTATCAAGAGCTTCATCTGATGTAATTGTCGATACATCATCAATATCAACCGACTAAAACGACAAAGAAAAACTTAGATCAACTTTACAATTTGTACTTATATACACAGTATATATTTCACCGAAATTTGGACCACGTTTCTGATGTGCTGAATACCAGCGTCCCTTTTCTTACACATTGTTCTGTAAGACTGCCAATCCAAAAATTAGGATTCAGTGTGAATGCAGCTCTAGGCAGGAAATCTGTCTGTTATTTGTTGATTACAGGGGCCAGCCACAATTTGCTCCTTGCTTTACTCCAGAGGTGGGCATAAAATTTGGTTGGAGGGCCAAAGCAAATTTTTGATTTAACATTGAGGCCCTACCCAAAACTTTGATGTTTACAGTGTGCTTCAAAAAACCTTCATGCACTGCTTTTGTATCACTTTATTCTCAGATTAAACATAACTATTTACAGATGATCGGTGTCAGGCCGTAAAAAACATGGTGTTTTCTAGACAAAAATGTTTGGCAGGCCACACACAGGGTTTTTAACTCATTTTCGTGGGCCGCAAAAAAAAATCACTTTCAAACTTCCGCACTTGCCCACCTCTGCTTTACTCCTACAAAGAGCATTGATGATGTTAATTAATATTAAAATTAAATATGTTAATATATTTAAATTATTTTTATTTAAAATATGTAATGTGTTTATATGCGCCAAGATGTCGTGGGTGTACGCTAGAGCCCCTTGGATATGTCAGAACATTCCTTTATATTGGGATTGACATATAATGCCCCAACGATTCATACATTATATATTGCACCAAAATTTGGACCGTCTTTCTGATGAGCTGAATACCAGCTTCCCTATTCTTACACACTGTTTGGTAAGCCTTCCGATCCGAAAATTCGGATTCGGTGTGAATGCAGCATTTTGTTGTTGATTACAGGGCCAGCCACGATGTGTTCCTTGCTTTACTTCTATAAGGAGCATTGAGGATGTTAATTAATATTAAAATAATTAATTAAATTATTTTTATTTAAAATCTGTTATGTGTTACATGCGCCAATATGCTGTTAGCGTATGCTAGAGCCCTTTGTGTATGTCTGAAGATTCCTTTGGCATATAATGCCCCAACGATTCTACAGAGAATACACCGACGTGTTCAAAATGGATCATTTTAATGATGATCCGTTCTGAATGCCAACGACAATTAGCAGATGGCGTTGCAATGTCTACCGCTTACAAGGAGCAGATTTGGGTTCACTGTAAAACTGTCGCATGAGCCTGCGAGTGCCCAGCTTCATGTGTAGTCTGTTGCGTGTAGGTCGATAGGGAGCTTTCGATTGCACGACAACGGTAGGACGTAATGACGTCACTAAAAGTCATCTGCGAATGCGAGAACGTTAAGGTCACCTCGTCGAGCAGATTCTGGAAAGAAATTTGGCAAAATCTACAGAAAATGTAGGATGCCAGGTAGGACGGTCACGCATGAGTGATCCCGTTCTAGCGTCGTGTCGTCGCACACATCGAGAGCTCCTTATTGAATATAGCACCAAAGTTGGGTGTTTACCTCAAAGTTCCTGTCTAATGCTCTCCGGATTTTGTGGCTAATATTGCGTGAAGTATTTAAAGAGTAGTCGCCTAGTCTCTCGCGTAAAGAGGATTTCATCAGTGTTGGGCTTAGCGATCTTGTCCTGGCACGTCTAGGGGATCGAGGGGAGTAAGGCAGTCGGCCATACTCAACATCTACCCCAGGTATAGGCTTGGCCAAGCTGCTGATTTTCAGATGACTTATATCTTCAAGTAATTCTGCAATCAATCAAAATAGTATCACACCAAAAAAATCTAATAAAGTAGTTTATTTGGTGAATGACAATTATGTACAAAAAAGAAAAACCTAAAACATTCTTTTAAAAGTATTGAAATGTTAATTTGTTTGAGAACATTTATCTCTTACTTAATAATACATTATATTATACATTAAAATATAGAATAAAATTAAAACAAAAAAAGAAAATCCTGGCATTTACCCTCTGTGTCTTCACTAAGGGTTGATACACTATCAAAATTAACAGCTTTCTTCTTGTTTGGTCCAACCTGAAACAGGAATATTCATTACTTACATCTGATCAGTAATCATGATTGAAACTTCTAATTTGTTATACATGCTGTTGAATTATACACAGCTTAAAATTTAGAATAAATGTTTGAATGCTTTTGTTTATTACTGTATATACTGTATGCTCTTTTCAGACACAATTATGGCATAAGTATTAAAACACACATGAAAACAGCATTGCAGTACGCACTGCTACTTGTCGATCAGATTAACACTAGGCATTAAGCGTGAAATCTGTGTTATATTGGTTATGACACCAGGCTAGTACTGATACAAGACACATCGAAATATTAAAATATGGTAACAAACTTAAAATTACAAATTCTACAAATAATTCATAAATACTTGCTGAAATGACCATATTTTTGACACCATATTATCAGAGTCATCCACTATATAAGTAAGACTCTATACAAAACTTGGGGAGTGCTATTAACAAGCATAAAAATATTTTTTATGCTTGTTAATATGCAACCATATTTTGTATTAAGAAACATCTTACCATTTCATATTTGATTCCATTGTTTGGATGGTAGTTATAGCGATGACCCCAGTATCGGTGACCATAGTAACGCTTATACACTTTACATATTGTACAATCATTCTCTGATACATATCCTAATGATTGAAATATAAATTATATAATAATGCAAAGATTAAAGTAGTTATCTATGAATTCAAATAGCAAATATTATGATATCCGACTCATAGTATTGGTCTATTTTGATTTACAAAATAATGTTTGATGAACCATGTGAATATAATAAACTGAATGATTATGATAATAGTAATAATATGTAGAATTTATAACGCGCCAATTCAAAAAAACATTATCAAAGGCGCAATGAACAATTAACCAATTAAAACGATTTTGTAAACAAAAAAGTTTTTGAATTAGTTTTAAATTTGGAGATTGTCGAACAGAAAGAGGTAAAAGATTACAAAGATAAGGTGCCTGAACAGAAAAAGAATGTTGTCCATATGTTTTTAGCTTTTTCCTTTTTGAAGGGGCTTGAAGAAGAAATTTATCGGGAGAACGAAACTGTGTACGAGTTGGAGAATATGGCATAAGAAAATGTAGCAAATATGATGGTCGTTTAAAAAGAAGTGATTTAAGAACAAGCAAAAGAACCTCAAATATTATCCATTGCTTAATGGTAAGCAAATGAAGGTCTTTAAGAATGGGAGTAATGTGAGAGGAGAGGGGGTTCATGGCAAAGAGAAAAAAAAAACAGAAAAAAAAAGAGAAGAAAAGGAGAAAGGGCTAATCCAAAACAGGAATCATTTGCAATCTTACTCACCTAGATCAGATATTGCTGATTTTGCAGGTGACCTCCGTAAACTCTTTGGAGGGGCAGAAGCTGGTCGCCGAGGTGACACAGATCTTGCTCTTGGGGGAGAGACTGCTCTGTTATGTGTATCTATCTATAAAATATGAAAAAATGTGTTATACACAAATATACTGTAACATACGCTATTCGTCAATTGAGTATTCATTTTATCTTCAATGTTTTTCCTATCCCTTAGTGTGCAAGCATATACAGTAGTTCCAGTTTAAATAGTAGCACTGATCAAATCAATTTCACTTCCGTTTGACAATAGTGTTTACAATTACCAGAAATAGTGTCAGTTAAACAAGAAACAAAAGTACAGTAGAAATCTCCCACCGCCTCTAGGCACAATTCCTCAGGTATGGTTGTAACACAAGGTTTGGCAAAATACATTGCTTGAATTTAAGGCTGGCCAAAGCTGACATGCATTAAGGTGGAAAGGCTGTGAAAGACCTGGAGCGCATCACTGTCAAGGGGCTTTCGATTGCACAACAATGGTAGGACCAAGAGCGTAATGATGTCACTAAGATGTCATCTGCACATACAAGAACATTGAGGTTTTGTCATCTAGATTTCTAAAAACGCAGTTTGGCCTGAATCTATCTTGTGCAGAGAATGTAAGATAAATCCATTTTGGAGTTACCATGATACGCAAATCAAAAGCTCCCAGGGAGCTCAGTATGCGCTTGTAGTAACATTATTACTACAATTGGACAATACAGTTGGAGTTACTTACCCGTTTACAAATAAATGGCGGTCTATCCTCTTGTAGGGTACTGTTGATTGTTCGTGGCTTTCGCTTAGTACTATTAGTTAATTGCTTTTGAGGTGATCGTAGAAGAGATGATGTGGTTGGAAATTCATAGCTCTTTGGCCTTCAAAAAAAAAAAAACAATTGGCCATTACTTATAAAAATCCTAACAGATCATTACACAGTACTAAGTCAAAAATATCTAACAGTGGTTTGGCGAAGCGAGAACGGTTTGGTTTCAAAACCTTTATAAATGGGTACCTGAGGAGATTCGAGTGCTAAAATGTGCTGATATATTTCATGCAGCAAACTATGGAATTTCCCCCATAGGCATCATTACAATGACTGGGGTAATAGTGTGAAAAAGCACTCTAAGACTCAGAGTGCTATATAAAAGCCTACATAATACTAGTATTACTACTATTATTATTGTTATTTATTATTAATATTATTATTATTATTATTATTATTATTATTTAACAAAATCACTCACTTCTTTTTAGTTCTTCCTCTTGGTTTTGCAGGAGATATTGACACAATTCTCTGTAAAGGGTCTTGAACCGTTAATGTTTTGAATTCATTGTATGTTGCAGAAGTACTGTCACGAACAGTTGTTACACAAGAAAACTCCAGCTTTGGTGAAATCCCCTATATCCGAAATTGAAAAGTCAAATTGCAATTTCATACTTTTTTCCAATGCAAACACAGATCTTGCCGCAATTAAATTTCCCGAAAGATTATTCAATGGAGATGTCATGGATTAGCCCCTCAATAGTTGATTTTCAGAACTTGGTTAGTTTTACCAATTCGCACCGTCAAACAAACCGACTCAAAAAATCCAAGTGCAAACAACGTTAAGGTTTACCCATTGGAATGTTACCCACGATCTCAGTAAAATTTCCCTTTTTTTAAGTTTAGTGCGATTAAGCCTTTAGGTACGAATCCTCATATTATGCATCAATAAATTAATTAGTAATTCTTAACCATCTCGAGTAAATGATTGGTCTATTTAGCTCCATTTGAAAGTGAATCAGTGTATTTTTCTGTACTAATCACTCATTGTGATTACCAATATACATTTTAACTGAATTATTGTTTATGTAAATTAATAAATATTTTTGCTTAATTATAAAATAAAATCTCAAAATAACATTAAAAAAATAAACAACAATAAATGAATTAAAGTGAACGATAAACTATGAGCTATAAACAGGTTCAGACACTTACGTTAAACCAAACCGTTTTCTTAAGTAGTATTTCACGGTCAGCATCGGCATAAGCAGGTGTTAATGTATCCTCTGGATAGAGAAAATCTCTTGCCGATGTACGATGGTAGGCTAAAAGCTGACCATCTGAATAGTAGTCGGGTGGAAGTTGAATGAGTTCAATAATAACTGTCTCTGCTTGAAGTATGTAGGTGAGGTGGGCAGGATCCATACAGTTTGTGAAGGTCTAAAGTATAGAATATAATTAATCAATCAATCAAGAAGGATTTGTTTAGTGCCAATATATTCTGCAGTAATGCAATGTTCTGTAAACCATATAATGATTAGGGCTGGCTGTCACCCCACCCACTCCTTTGAATCCACTTCTTATGTGTACATTGTAAATAATAAACTATTCATTCAGATAATATAATTTTCACATTTAATATGTAGTTACTGTAGTACAGTGTGCTATTAATGATATAGACTAATTCTATTTTATATTTTGATGGACAGTCTGAAATAAAAGTTGTAATTTAAACATTTTTAATGGTTGATGGTATGGATATTCAAATTATTTTGACCAACACCATGATTAATAATAATAATAATAATAATAATTGATTGACAGGGCCCAATGGTTTGATTAAATCATAGGTATATTATTAATATATCCTTTACTTTACCCTGTCAAAAGTTAACACCTGATGAAAGAGGAATGGGAAAACAGGTGGAAGGCAGAGGGTTCGACGTTGCTGGCCAAGCATGACAACTTGAAGGTAAACATCTTCACGACTTGACAGCACTGACCCAGGGCAGGTTACCTGAAGAATAATAATAAAATTAATAATAAAGTAAAATTTTAAAAAATAATAATCATCATCATCATCAACTTCAGTCAACTTCATAATAATAATAATAATAATAATAATAATAATAATAATAATAATAATACTGTAATAATAATAAATAATAAAATTAATTGTCCTGAGTCTCCTGCAAGTCATGGAAGTGTCCCAAAAATCAGCACAGCATACAAAATTCTTCCAAAAGCAAACCCATAACCCTCAACTTTTCGTTGTCATCTGAGAAAATAGGATGACTGTCAATATATTGATACCCTATGATTAGTTTATCTTGTTGCATGTTTCTACTATATTATTAATTACTATATTATTATTATTACTAAGTCTGCTGTTCAACACTGTGAGCTCATTCAGTCTGACCTCTCAACATGGAACCCCTCCATTATCCACAAATACTGTATAAAAGTCTAGCATGAATCTTATAATAAATTTGATTATGATTCATTTATTTATTTATTAAAAATTCAACACAAATACAGTGTTAAGATGAAAATATGGGCACAGGCCCAGTACAAATGTTGGATCCTCTTAATACAATAAAAATTGTTTAATTTCAATAAAATATAAATTAATATTTTTTAACATAAAAAAATAGTTAAATAGGCCATAGATTACAATTAAAGAATTTTTTAATGCAAATTTTAAGATTCCAAGTTAATTCACATTAAAATTAAGCTATAAATAATTAATAAAATATTAATATATTTTACTTTAGCCATAGTTTAATCTACTGTATTGCTTAAGAGAGCTAGGCCCTAGGGGGTAGGCCTATGCCTATTACTATTTTCCTCCTTTTTCAGGGGCAGATCCAGCGAAAAAAAACTTGGTGGGGAGTGGGTTGGCACTTGTGATTTTTTTCTTTTAGAGAAATGCTTGACCACAACATAGAAGACACTGGTACATGGATAAATCAAAATTATCTTGTTTTGGAGTAGCCTAGGAGCCTATACTACGCATCATGCTCCTTACTTACATCCTACTTTTTTTTCTTTTTTTTTTTTGGCGGGGGTTTGTGGAGGAGGGATGGGAAAGTCATGTTCTATAGGGCCTAGGCCCTACTAGGCCTATTTTATATCATTACCTACTAGGGCCTAAGAAGTAAGGTTAGGCTTACCTCTAGGTAAAGGCAGCCTTCACACTGAGTGTACGCCCTGGTTTAGACCTAGGCATAAGCCCTAGCCTAGCTTAGCTAAGCTTAGCTTAGCCTACCCCATAGGCCTACTATCATCACAATCATAGATAGGCCTAGGTTTAGGCTAATTAGGCTAGGCCTAGACCCCTAACCTAGTAGCCTAATTAAATTAAAATATTTAATTAGTCTTACAGCATGTACGTTTAAATCAACAGTCAGTCGTAATGCTTTTCGTGGCATTTCTTTAAGTCATCTAGGCTAGTTAGATAAGCAAAAATATCTAGCTAGGCCTAAGCCCCTTTGCTGAGGCAAACGATCGATCATACAAGGACACGGAGGATAAGAGACTTGACAGGCGTTCGTGAACTTGTTTGACACCCCCAGCCATCGCACACACCATAACCACGGTGGAGCGTCTTAACGCCAAGCGTTACAATCTCAAGAACCAATCAACAACGACGTACTCGACCATGATGAGGTGACGTCATACGGATAGCGCCGTCATTTCGATGATAATTAGGAAATGTAGCATTTTGTGTCATCATTTGAGTTTATTTATTTATTTATTTATTTATTTAAATTTTCCTATCCAAATAACGTTATTTTGATTGCCAATCCCTAACATTGTACAGTAGCTAGGTCTAAAAGCACAAATCGGGCCATACGGTACGAGCCATAAAAACCCTACCTGAGATCTGGAACCCTGACGGAGGTTCTAGACGGCCCCTGTTTCGAACCCCTCTCGGATATGTCGGGCCCATTGTCGGCAAAAATAGGAGCCACCACCACTGCCTTGGCGCATATTTTGAACACACATCGACGCTCCCTGTTGTCCAAGGTTCATGAAGAGAGTTTTTATGGCATAGCATGGCCCAATATTGTGATTTTAGACCATTAGTTATTAATTCGTTATTTGGTTATTCAAATTAATAATTTGGTCAGTGTGACTAACTCTGTCTGATGGGAAAAATCCCCCCGCCACCTTCAATGCTCTCACTGGCGCCTCCACTGAATCACACCTACCACAGTATTCTTAAGTTATATAGATCTATCGCTAAATATTACATTTATATTATTGTGTTCTTGAGGCTTCTTGGCCTGGATCAATTTTATCGTTATAGGCGGGGAAAACAAGTTTGGTCAGTTTTTTGGTAAAAGAACAAGTAAAGGCCAAGATAAATTCAACTAAAATGAATTCCAGCATTGGTATTTGTCCGGTGAGTGAGGCTTTCAATTTGAAGTATCCTAGCTTGACCTCAAAATTCTGGTTGTATATACAACCAGAATATGCTAATCCAAGCCTCCTAGAACAGTCGAATTCTTTAAAACATATAATTTGGAGACTAATAAATAATAATAATAGTTGGATTTGTAGAGCGCATCATGCGAAAAAGCCTCTATGCGCTTGGTGATTGAGCTCTTTGATTTGGACATTTTGAGAAAAAAAAAGTTGAAGTTACTAAAAATCTGAGTTCTTAAAAATACCACCAGAACTACGTTTAATCTAAGTAACTAGTAAAATCAAGGACTCAGTAGTTCAAAGTTGGTTATATTTACTGTCACGTGTGTCAAGTAGGTCACGCTATGTTTCAACCATGTGCGAGTATTTCTGGCTCATAAATAATAAATTATATATTTTCGTCAATGTTGATGGTAACATCAGGCCTGGCATACCAAAATAAAAATAAAATACATAATTAATACATTCTTAACCCTCCGTTATATTTTAAGTTTCGTTTATTATTTACTTTTAAATATTTGATATAGAATAAACATTTTCTATGATGTACAGTACACGTCGCTTGTACAGTACATGATAGTAGCTGACATAGTTAGTACGAATTTGACTTTTCGAAAGTTGGAAAATGTACAATATGTTTTGCAACTTTCACCTAAAATACGCCACTAGATCTGCCACTTTTTACCTAGATTACGTCACCTTAACATGTCGCCTTTCACCTACATTACGCCAATAATATTTCATCCGTCATCTTTTACTTTCCCGGTGATTTACCAATTTCAACTTTCACCTAAATGTTAGGTCAATTAACGCAGCTAATCTATCCTTGGCCTTATTTACCAATTTCAACTTTCACTTAAATGTTAATAGGTCAATTAACGCACCCTTTATCTATCCTTGGCCTTATTTACCAATTTCAACTTTCACCTAAATGTTAAGGTCAACTAACGCTTTCTCAAGCGCCTTGAGCATTTCTTTACAATGGATGTTGAGCGCTTTACACATCTTTTCATTATATATACCGTTAGTTCCATAATCTAACAATTACTTACGTTTTGAGATTTGTTTTCATCTGTTTTTTTTTTTAATTCTAAGCATACTATCAAATTGAGATAAGCCGTTCTTTTCTACACCAAAACAGAGTGGACTGACGGTTATCATCGATCATAAATGGCATCATCATCATCTTCATCATCGAAATTATTATTTATCATCATCAAGTTCATCATTATCATTGTCGTCATCATCATCATAGAATAAAGATTTTGATGTACAGGCCTCTTGTGAAGAACGTGACAGTCACTGGAAAAGAAGTGCTAGTTCGACTCGTACGGTATTATTTAATCTCGATTTTGTATTTGATATTTAAAAAAAATGCGATACACCCTCCTTCAATACGCCACTATAATAGCTCTGTCACCTTTTAACTACAGTAGATCAGGTTACCTTAATGTCACCTTTCACATATATTACGGCAAATTATCCCGTCTACCTATTTCTCACATCCACCAATTACAACCTTTACCTAAATGTTAAGGTCAAGACACAGGAAGTCCATTCATCTATATCTGCTTACGTTTTTATATTTTGTTTAGGCCCCATAAAAAAATTATTAGTTTATCACCCTATAAAGAATAAAAACTGATGAGGGAGGGAAGTGTTTTTTTTTTTTTTTTTTTTGTTAACTTCCCCCAAATCCGCCCTTGAATTACAAGTAAATCAATGGTTTAGGGACACAGATATAAAAAAATCATAAGAATGGAATCAAATTTATATTTAAAAAAGATGTTTTTGTTGTACCAGTAAACATATTTGCAAGAAATTCTGAGCATTTCAAGTGAAAACAAGATGCAAAAATGACCGTTTGAAATAAAAATATATGTTGATTGACCAAAAAAAAAAAAAAAAAAATCAGATTTTCCCAAAAGTGATGAGGGAGCGGGTGATAAACTAATATTTTTTTTATGGTGCCTTATCTGTTTTCTGAGTAGGAATGACGGTCTACCATTATAAGGCTTTTCAGAATGTGATTCGCCGTCTTGATCAGCGTATTTTTTAATCATCAACATCATCAATAATCATCATTATCATCATCAATTGTCATCATCACATTTCTTGTCATAACTAACATATCAATTGTAATTGGTGTTTGTGCAAAAAATTTCAAATCGTGAGGACAAAACGAGTATACTTTATTGCAAATTCGGCATGTTTTTTCAAGTGACGTGCTCATGCAATAATGCTGATTTTCTTTTTGTGAGTCAATTTGTGCCATTAATTACGTACTCGGCATTAATAATAATAATATTGAAAACTTTTAAAGCGCCGGTATCTGTTTAAAGAAAACGCTCATGGCGCCCCTCCAAAAGAAGTCAAAAATATGACCAACAAAAGAAACAATAAAGTTTAAGGACCAGAATCAATTAAATTACATTAAGATTATCAATAAAATAGGAAGCGTCCTTCAAATTTCCAACGCTAACCCTTGGTTATTTATACGAAATGAAGGCCAAACAAATTATAGCTATAGTATTGGATTGCAATCTGCTAAGTCCATTGTTATTTTCAAATGTAACTGGATATAAACCTCACGCTTTACTGACTGTTATATCCGGGAGACGAATATATATTACGGCATTTTACAGAACCCTGTTCACTTGTAAAACAGTACTGTACGTGCATAGTACTACATTGTTACTGTACGTAAACTTTTCACACACACCTTGTGGACCTACCCAAAATAATACTGTCAGTTCCTTTATCAGTATGGGTTCAATGATATGGGAGTATGAAGGGATTACGCTGCCGAAGTTTGTGACTAGAGACGTAGTGGAACATATCAGGGACTTCGAAGTCCGCGACGATGACATTTGGCTATGCACATATCCGAAAGCAGGTAAGGCCTATTACAAAAAGTGACACTGGTTGTGGTCTTTATTCGAATGGGTCTTTAAAAGATGATGGAGCCCTTTCATGGGCGTAGGCTGGGGGATGCGGCCACACCATACCTCCTTCCTCCACCCATGACGACAAATTAGTTCCACTAAAGTGGTTTACTAAATATGACCATTAAATTAATAGGATTTAGTTTCGAATTGTCGCATACCCCATGCATGCCGACACCTTATGCCCCTGCTTGTATTCAATTTGGCCTCCAATGGCTAAGTTTTTAAAGCATATCTACCTTTTGAAGCTGGAAAAATGTCTGAAACGGGTTGTAACAGAAAGAGTTATACCGAATCAGGCCTACCTGGCAACTTAAATTACCACCTATCCTGATTTTTATATTATTAGTGTTCTAATTTCAGACAGGTCGACCTAAAATGGTATGCCGTTTTAGGTCGACCTAATTTTTAAAACTGCCCCCCCATGGCAAAAGGGCATAACTGACAATTTGCTGTTTTGGAGATATTAAGCAAAACGTGTAATTAGCCCTAAAATGTGTTTTAGTATTTGATTTCATGGTTAATGTATTCAAATAGACAAATAATGTCTCTTCCAGTGTAGCACACATTTTTTCTATAAATATTGATTTTTGCGCTCAAAATGTCAGTTATGCCCTTTTGCCGTGGGTTTTCTGATTCAAGACATGTTGACAAACTTTGGCAAAAGGATATAAGTACCCAGTTTAGTTCCTTTCAACGCAATTTTGAGTCAGAATTTTCAAAAATAACATTCAATATATAATTTCATATGTTAGTCATGTATAAACTATAAAATAAATGTACAATAATACCAAAGAAACGCATTAAATAATAAATACTAAAATTACAAACGATTAAAAACCCATGTATAGGCTAACCAAGTATACAAACAAGAAAATGAATTAACATTAGTATGCTATTATGTATCAACAAAGCCTTTTTGGTTCAAGGTGCTAGATCGAGGACCCTTTGGGTAGGAGGCCCTATGGACCCCTAGGGGTCTGGGGCCCCGCACAAGAGCGCATAGGCGTTACGTCACTGCGTGAAGGATGCATGCGTATGCGTATATGAAATAGAACTGCTGTTTAGTTAGAATGCGCATGTGACTGTTCCTATGTGTACGTTAAACAAGAATTACAATTATTTTTAAAATTTTATTTACAAAGTAAAATAATAAATTTATATTTTAAGTCATGTAATTACATTAAATATAAATTAGCCCTATTATTATTATTATTATTATTATTATTATTATTATTATTATTATTATTAGCAATTCTTTTTTATGATCCAAATTCAATAATAAAATGATTACGAATATTATTGTTTTTTATATTCTAATAAAATATATTATATATATATATAGATTTAGATGGAAATGTAAGTTGTTGTTTGCTTAGTGAACACAGTTGATTCGAGTAAACTGTGCATTTATACCTTTTTGTCATGCCATTTGCTATAAATAAATGTTGTATTTGTGCCTCTTTGCCATAGTTATTTGCTAAATAATCGTTTTAGTTGTCCCTCTTTGTCACTGTTATTTCTAGTTAAAATGTGAATTGTTATTCTGCCATGGTTAATTATTTTTATTAAACAGTTACTATTTTCCTATAGTTTATTTCCATAGTATTAAACTGTTGCCATTCAAAGTAAGACAAGATTATAAAGCATAAATTAACTAGGCTTATCATGTTTGCCTAACATTAACTAGACATATGCTACTGTCAAGAATCATACTATTTAACCAATTTCTATTTACAAATTCTGAATACACAAACAGTAAGAATAATAAAAATAATACAACTTAACATGCAACCTTCATTGTAACCAGGGAGAAAGCTCTCTTCTGATTGGTTGGCTGTTGAAAGAACGTCACGCTTCAGCGTATCACAGCCTATCTTTGCAGTTATGCCCTTTTGCCTTGGGGATTTACTGAAAATTGTGTAGTTATGCCCTTTTGCCATGCCCCTATCTAGCCCGGGGGACACT